TATCTGTCAGGCCACATCCTCTTCTGAATCCAGCGTGAACCTCTGGAAGTTCTTTGTCAATGTACGGTTGCAGCCGTTTTCGTATTATCTTTAGTAAAACTTTACTTGCATGGGAATATCAAAGATAGTTTCTGATGATTTCCTCATTCTGTTGGGTCACCTCTCTTTGGAATGGACAAAAATACTGATCTCTTCCAGTCAGCTGGCCACCAAATCTCTTGGCATAGATGGGCGAGTGCCTCCAGTGCCACATCAATTTGTTGAAATATTTCAATTTGTATTCGATCAATTCCAGGTGCCTTGTTCTTTGCCAATGCTTAAAATGCACCTTGGACTTGTTCCTTCAGGATCACTGATCATATGCGGAACACTGATCATTTCTTTTTTTAAACTACAGTTTGCTTCATTTTGTTCAAAGTTCAAGGCAGGGGCCTTGAACCAAGTAGCCAAGCAAGAGTTAGGTTTACATCAGTCATTGCACCCCAGTAAGGTAGTAAGCCTTCCTTACTGTTTCTGCAGGGCTCGAGAGGCAGAGCATGCAGTAAGCTAACACTGCTAATTTGAGTTTAGGTATAAAGAGAAAGAATGAGTTACTAACATTAGTTGTGTTGAGGTAGTTATGTTGGACAGTTTTTTAAGGGATATCAGTAGACCATTTTATAGTCATAGAAAGGAAGAGAACTGGGACATCATTATGCCTATAATTTGCCCTTGAGGAAAGCAAATTTCAAAAAGTTTATAGCATCTGTAGGTGTGGTTCTAAGATTAGACATTTCTTAAGAAACATCATGCCAAGAAATTCTGTGGATGCACATAATGCTCTGAAAATGTGAGTAACTGATAGATGAAAGGAACATACATTCATCACCCAGTTATAGTGCTAAGTGTTATCGTTAGTTGTCACTGAGTCAATTCCAACTCATAGTGACCCCAGGTGACAAAGTAGAACTGTTCTGTAGAGCTTTCTAGGGTGTAATGTTTATGGGAGCTGATCTCTAGGTCTTTTCTCCCACAGAACCACAAAGTGGGCTCAAACCACCAACCTTTGGGCTAAATGCTTAACCAGTGCACCACCAAGACTTCTTACTTTATGTACAAAACAAAGCATTGCCCGTCGATCATTTCTTTTTGATAGTGATTCTGTGTATTCCTTCCATATTCTTTTGATGCTTTCTGCATCTTTCAGTAATTTGCCCATAGAATCTTATAGTAACACAAGTTGAGGTTTTAAATTTTTCTTCAGTTCTCTCAACTTGAGAAATGCTGAACGTGTTCTTCCCTTTTGGATTTCTAACTCCAAGTCTGCACATTTTGTTGTTAACATTTGACTTTGACTTCTTGAGTTACACTTTGAAATTTTCTGTTCAGTAGTTGGTTTGAATACACCAGCTGCTCTGTGGGATCAAGATGTGGCAGTCTACATGCATAAAGATTTCAGCCTTGAATAGGGCAGTTCTAGCTGTTCTAAAGATATTAAGAGTCAGAATAAACTCAATGACAATTGTCAGTATCATATGTCAGTAGTTGGGTCCCTTAAATTGTTAAATAAACAGTATTCCATAGCATGGACATACCACATGTGTATACTTGACGGACATGTAATTTTCTCCAATTTTTGACTATTATGACCAAAACTACTATAAGAGTTAAAATGTAACTTTATAAAAGTCAGTCATTTTCAAAATGTTGACCTTGGACAAGCAGGATAAGCACTGCCTGAAAACTCTATGACAGGCCTACTCTGAGAATGACTTCTGCCATCTAATCCACTTAAACGAAAGTCCTGGAGAGAAATGTGAATCTGCCAAATCCTCAGTCCAGTGCAGTTATTGCACACTTCTTACTAGGTAAGCATTTCACTGTGCTGGAAAAAGCACATTTTTCACACATGTGACCCCTTAGCATAAACCAACTACTTCATCTAACGCTCAATTCAAAGAAGTTGTCATCTAATTTTATCCTGGAACATGAGGCTGGACTACATTTTAACTGACAGACATCTCAATACAGGAAATAGAAGTGATCCCAAAGGGAATTTTGACCATATGTAGTGGTAAAATTTTAAGAACACATTTTAGAACCTAATTACCATTTAGGACATGACTTCACTAATAGTTGTTGTTGTTGTTGTTAAATGCCGTTGAATCGGTTCCGACCCATAGCGACCCTTTAGAGGGTTTCCAAGGAGCGACTGGTGAGCTTGAACCACCAGCCTTGCAGTTCAAACTGACTTTGTAGTCTAGAGCATTAACCCATAGTTAGCTGCCTCTTATTCAGGAGTTTCATTCATTCACATGAAGAAGCCTAGCTCACATTAGAGGAGCTTACCAGCGTTACTTCATCCCCTTGGACTGATACATCAGGTCTTCGGAAGTGACATAAAGCCACAATTGCAGCAATGCTGGCAGCATCAATAATATTTCCATCATGATTTAACAAATGCAGGTCCACACGTATTTGCCAAACCTTAAAATAAATTTAAAACAAAATAAAAAATTCTAAATGATCACAAACAGCTCCTACATATCAGGAAAAGCAATACTTTGTGTAATTTTTTATAGTGTTAAAACAAGTATTCACCTGTTCTATTTTATTAATAAAAATTACTTTAAAAATGTTAAGCAACATAAACATTTACAATATGAATAGCTTACCTTTGTATGTGAGTTATTTGGCATTAAAATATAATCTAAATTAAGAGAATCACTGTAATTGTAAACTAAGATTTTCCAGACTCTAAGCTGAATTGCCTTTTTATAGTGCATAAGTTAAATATCTCAAACTCTTAGGGTTTATTACAGTTAATGAAAACCTTACAGGTAGTGTAACTAATTGGAGACACTGTATCCAAGTACAGAAGGTGGAAAGAAAAAGGGCAAGCTAGTCAAAATATCCCAATCAATTATAAAGTGCTAATATCACCATAT